ATTACAGTATTTAATATCGTGTACTTTGATATTCTTTTCTTAATTTACTATAATTTCTTGTTTCCTATAATGCGAAATCTTGACAATATGGTGAAGGTTGAGTTTTGATCTGATATTAGTTTTATACCTGGGTTTATACAAGACCAAATTAAGACTTAGTTTGTGATTAATATTAAGATCTTTCTTATAATATTTGTTATGTCTTAATCTTAATACTATATTATGCTTTGTCTGGAAAATAAATGTTAAAATATCTTTAAAAAAAACTTTATTAACTTTTAGATTAGTACATAAAATAACAGCCGTTTCTTTAATAAAGGCACCTAAGACAATGTCTTGTTATCTTAATTCAATGTCTATAATATGTTTATCTTAATTTTGCATATCCTATTCCATCCTTCCATTAGGAAAAATATAGTTTATAAATCATATATGCTAAGAAAATCACATAAATTAGTTGTAAGAATAGAAAAATCTTAAGGTAGCAGAAAAATTAATGCAATATATGTATAAGCAGAATTAAACAAGGTAAAACTGTTAATGTTGCTGAAGCTGATTCTACAATTTTAATTACGGAGGCTAAAAGGCCTTTTAAGGCCTCCGTAGTTTTGATGGAGTGTTAAAAAAAATCTATTATGAACATGAAATGGAGCTACAGCATTTAAAAATTTTAAAAAAAGAAAAAACTTGGACATATCCCTTTTAATTTCCTGAATTTCTAATAAAGCACTTTTTAAACGTAGCATAATAATCTAGACAATGAAAATACATAATAAGCGTTCACGTGTTGTGCGAAATATTAAAATAATAATATAAATACTATACCGCGTACTATGATTGAAAAAAAATAGCGTCAGCGATGACTATGAAATGAAGATAGCTGTCATTTTATATGGGAAATGTCCTCAATCATCATTTCCCAGCCAACTGGACGCCGTTATTTCGATCATACGGTATATATTGACAAAAAAAACACTGAAAAGCACATATTTGTTTTCTACTGAAAATAATGCCAAAATAACTTGCAATCTGGCAACATCGAAGATGTGCGCATGCGTAGTGTCTGTGACTATATGCAGCAAAAACTCGTTTCAAGGTCAGCCACCGGATCCACACCATTATTAGACTTGGATTACGGCAAATTAATAAAATAACATTTATCTCATCAAGGAGACAACTTTTAATCGACATTAAACGTTTTATACAATTTTGCTAAGAAGAGAAGAAAGACTCAGTGGCGCCACATGCTATTTTTGGAAAAATATTCCACTGATAATGCACATGCACGTCCTTGGTGAATATAGCAACTTTTACCCAATGACTGGTAAGGACTGTATATATTCTAAAGGACTGTTCGATCGCGTCAAATCGCCGCTGTCGTAGTGGCCGTGGATGCTTACGTCACGCAGGGACCAGCGCTCCACAGTGCGGCGGATAGATATTTTAGCGGGACAAAATCTTTTTGCGATGTTTGGAACTTAAAATCTAAGAACGTAGCAAATGGTCTAATATATAGCAACCATATGGTTAAATTTATTTTTTTATTAATGAATAGATAATAAAACTATGATATTATTCGTACATGACACACAAAACCGTACTGTAAACTATTGCCAAATACATAAAATTATGATATTAGGTGAAATACTTACAAACAACTCTTTAACAGTTATTTTTTAATTACTTTGTAATCTTGTGACACCCTGTATATTTTATTTTAAAAAATTCTATTTTTATTTTGAAAATAATAAATAAGATATTTTAATTTTAACACTCGGTAATTGTAAATTCATATATAGTAGTATCTAAGACAATTTTTTAAACTTTTATTAAAACTAGTAAGAATCATTTAGTTTTATTATAAATTATGAAAAAGTAAAAAAAGACTTTAGCATATCGTCATGCTTTATTTAACTAGAATATCATTTGGATGTTTTTGTCTTGAGGAAAATTGCCGAACTGAGTATTGATGTCATTCATTAGCTGCCCATACACGGAAAGGCCCTGCTTTCGGCCTTGGCCTTGGGTCCGGGCCTTTAACCCAAAATACCATAGGTTTGCGTGAAAGGCAAAGTCCGCGGATATATTTCCGCTATGGTAATTTGGGTGAAAGCCCCGGCCTCAAAGCCAAGTCCAAAAGCCGGGCCTTTCTGTGTATGGGCAGCAATTAATTTTTTAAACTCAGTGCCTTTCGATGGAGTTAAGGTTTCAACAATTACAGCAGCATCCTTACTCCCACTAGCCCTAAAGCTCATAGTACTCGCAAAACCCAATTTTTCTTTTGAATGCTCTTCAATTATCCGATTGAAATGAAACTTTTGGGCATTCACCTGGTAAGCTTGAACTTCCTGTGACTGTGACTACCTGTGTTGGTAAAAGATCTACATCATTCAATATATCGATATTTGAAAAAAAAGTGAAAGTTTGATATCTGCAGATCAAAGGCACGAAGAATTTTGACAAATAATATACGTACAGTAGAAAAGTACATATCTTTGGCAATCTTCGACATAAATTGGCTTTGGGATAAAATGTATAAGTACTTGTAAATATTTTGTTTTCGTATGATCTCTGCCTTGCTGAGCAGAAAACGATTAAATTTAGTTGATAAAAATGTCGAATTACAAAGAATATTCATGCATTTTTATATCAATTGGAATGTCTACTATTTATTCTTATCAGTACACATTTTTTGGCTTATTTCTAACCAAACGGTTTTGTCCCGCTAAATTTATCTTCCACCGCACTGTGCGCTCGCCCGTCAAATGCAAAAATAAGCCACTGTCTAAAATCTTTAGCGCCAACTTCAACTCGGTCCCTAGATGATGTAAAAAAACTGACAGTGCAGGAAGATAGGAATCGAACTATCCTTATCTCTATAGTATCCTTGACTTTTACCTTCAATATTTTCGTTGGATTCGCTAAAAGTACTTCGATAAAAATCGTAAATGAATGAAGACTTGTAACAGCCTTTTTTCCTAGAGAGCTATTACTAACGCCTAACAGTCGGTCTTTTTGTTCTCGGGCGCCACCCCCAAAGTTTAAAGTGTTTGAGAGACTACCTCGGCCAATACGGGTAGCTTTTCTACAGTGGAGAATCCAGGGAAATGGGGTAAAAGCCAGTTAAAGTCGAATATATTCCATAACAAGGTTTATTTAAATAAATTAATTATGAATCCAATATCTTCAAATAAATAAAATATGAAGAAAATACTAAAACATGAAATATCGCGAAATCTAACACAGAGAAATTAAATCAGTTAATTACAATAGCAAATAATTAAGTAATTAATTAATAAATTAAATTAATTATGAATCCAATATCTTTAAATAAACAACATATGAAGAAAATACTAAAACATGAAATATCGCAAAATCTAACACAGAGAAATTAAATCAGTTAATTACAACAGCACATAATTAAATTCATATTATTTAAATTCAATATCTTCAAATAAATAAAATAGAAAAATACTAGCAATACATATTCACATGCATCTTTAAATAAATCAGATATATAAGAAATATTATTATTATGGTAAAATAAAAGAGGAACCTTAATTAACTCCTCCTCCGTAAAGGGATTTTATACCATAAAAATCAAATAAAAAAAACTCTACTGTGCTGAAACTAAAATTTGTGATTACTAGAACTCTGATGGGGTATCTGGCGGTTACAAAAAAAAGAAAGAATGTGATTACCTCTTTTTTTTTTGAAGTAAATCGGCGTCGGATCAAACGAAACGGTCTGGTTTTCTGAATCGCCTACAGCAGCCCGGAATCCAGGCACACTAATTATTCACGGTCAGGTATAAAGAAAACTTAAATGCTCGGTTTTTAACTATCTATACTCATAAATCAGAAATACGGTTTAGACTTATTTTAAATCAAATCTCTGCGACCACGATTTATACTTATTTAAAATCAAAAACGTAGATACGGTACTTTTACTTTAAAACTCAAGAATTCGGTTTTTACAGCAGCGCTGATAAAAAAAACGGATCAGACTCGCGAGGTTTACTTAGAAAAGTTCACCGGTACTTAGTCTCAACAGGAAGAACCCCGTTTTCGCGCTCCCGTCGCTTAAATAATCTTTCCCGTCGGGAACCACGAACCACGTTCGGTTACCATCGTCCTACCTCCCATCAAGATTCCTTACAGTAAAAAAAACGGTTTTTACCCGTCGATCCTACAAAAAACCATTTGCTGTTTGTACCAAAAAAAAACTTCAACGTCTCCATGCAAATCGACGAAATATTTAACACAATTTTATCAGCAAATAATTTTTAATATTAAAAGTATTTTTCAGTTTTAGACTATCATAACAGTTCTAAAAATAAAAATAAACCATACTAAGCTTGTCTAAGAATTATTTGTTACCATAATCCTTCAAAACAAATGAACATATCAAATTCTACTTATATACAGTATGGTTCATAAATCCACAAACGCTATCCGTCCTGGTGATCAAAAAAACAAATATTTAGACATTTACCATGAGAATATTAACGATAAAAAAAAAATAAAAAAAAGTTAGGTCCCAAGGCAGGAACGAACCCGGGCCCTTCGGTGTACCAGCGAAGTACTTACACGCCGCGCTATCGTGCCGGGTTTGATTTATGTTCACGCCTAGCATTTAACAGGTTAAATAAAAAAAAATAAACGGACTTCATTACAGACTTTAACCTCCTGTAGCTACAAAACAAAGCAGAATCGGACCTATGTTGATATGAAAAATAAATCTTATATTTTTACGTGAGAAATCTCTCCAAAAGATATTCCTCACATTTTTAAGTGAGGAATTTCCCCACGAGAGATGACACATGGGATTTAGATTGTGAAACTTGTTTTAAGAGATCCAAAAAAAAATCATTTGCATTTCTTTGTGTCTGTCTATCAACAGGTCATAACGTAAATTAGCTATCTTTATCTTTTTCTTAATCATTAAAATATAGACCGTCTATTTAGAACGACGTATATTTCAAATTGTTGAATTTATAGGTTAGCCAACAGGATGTCTTAGATGTTACCATGTGTCCTAGTGAGCATGATGTACCAGAGTATTCACTCTTCAGCTTCACTCCTAGGAAAATATTATCTAAAGAGACTCCATGTTATGTATTGAAGATGATGAAAGATTTGGGTTTTATTGACACATTTCGTATTAAAATAGACACTTTATCGAGATTTATATTATATGTTAGAAAAGGATATCGTGAAGTGCCGTATCATAACTGGCAACATGCTTTCTCTGTAGCCCATTTCGCTTACTTAGCTTTAAAAAACTTCCAGCTTATAGAAAAAGGATATCTAAGGTATATCTCTATAAATATAGTGTAGATACTAAATCATGTCAGTAAATCTGATTATCTTCACGAAAAATATTAACTCTTATTAGTAGTTATTACATTTTATGGCAAATAACATAACTAATAAAATAGTATTTAATTATTTTTAGCCAACTAGAAGCTTTAGCTTATTTTGTATCATGCTTGTGCCATGATATTGATCACAGGGGAACTACTAACTCATTTCAGCAGCAATCCAATAGTGTGTTAGCAAGTCTATATTCCAGTGAGGGTTCAGTTATGGAGAGGCATCATTTATCTCAAACAATTTGCACTCTAAACACTGAGGTATATTCTGTCACGAAAAAATGATTAGTTTTATGTGTAATTAAGTTATTAAATTTGTTGTTTTAACACAATTCAGTCATTTATGCATGTAAAGATTGTTCCATTTTCGTGTGTTTACAGTGTTTATGAGTAGAGGTATAATTAGGTAATCAAAATCGAATAATTTATTCGACGTCAAATTGTAGTAATTGGCTATTCTATGCTAGTTTCTGTGTGTAGAATTATTGCACAGGCGCATTAAAAATATCACTGTGACACAAACTTTCCTTTTATTGAAAATTTAAGTCAAAATATTGCGAACGGCTACTCTTATATCGGAGGCGGTGGGAACAAGCTTTTGCTTCTGCACTTGACTAAAAAATATGATACCCACCTATACCTTACACTGCATACCAAAGGGCGCCACTTATTTCAAAAAGATTCTAATACTTACAAAGGATAGTACAAACTGAAATAAGAAAATTTGTACAAGTGTATTATAGGGTTCCCAACTTGAGCATCGGCGATTCCGGGACAATTATTTTTAAGCTTTTAAATAATTGAAGCAAGACATTAAATATTAGAAAATAAAATATATTATGTGTGTAGTACATACATTTTTTTAGTTTCCAGGTCCCGGCCAAGGCAAAACTTTTGCCGGGACAAACTTTCTGATTCCTGGTTAATCCCGGCCAAACCGGGACGGTTGGGAACCCTAGTGTATTAATTGAATAGAAACTAACATTAGTATAGCTATTAAATATTTTGAGAAACTGGATCAACCAATGAAACAATTCGAATACCCAAAAAAATAAGATTTATTACTTGTTAGAAATATTCGGTACCTATTCGGCACAGCAGTTATGTACATTAGTATACAGGAATTATATTTAAGAAACTCTATCTTAAAACTTGTTTAAAATCAAATTATGTCTTTTCAGATATTATTCAAACAATTATAATATAAAAAGAATACTTTTAGAGACGGTCTTGGTTTTATTTGAATATTAAATATCTAAATTTTAATTGACTTATTACGAAGATTCATGAACCTTTTTGTTTATATATAGTTAAGGGAAAAAGTTTAAAAGCTGTATCCAAGATTGCCCTTACAGGTCAAAGATTATAATGATACAAAAGGTTATAAATAGATGTTAAATCCGAATGATCAATTCATACAACATGATTATTTTAATAATCAAATACAGGTAAAATTTAAGCAATGCTGAAGGCAAATACTTAAAGCGTTAAAAAAAATATAAAATATAACAGAACGTTAAATTTTATAAATTAAAGGTTAAAGTAATGCTGAAGGCAAGTACTTAACCGGTTAAATGTAAAATGTTAAGAATAGTTAATTTCTTAACACACTAATGATTATGTAAAATCAAATTAATAAAATTATAAAAAATATACTGGCCTTGTATACCAAATTATACTAAAAAAAGGATCTTCTTAATAATACAAAAACATCACAGCATCCAACTTCTTCTCAGAGGGGTGCAGGGATGAAATTAGAGATGGGCGGTTATTGGTAAAAAACCGGTTATAGGTTAACCGGAATTATCTTTAAAAAATAATAACTTGACAAAATTAACCGACACAAAATAACCGGTTATTCAAATAACCTAACCTAGCAAAACTAAATATTTAGTTTTCCTATAGGTTTACTTACCTCTACACTCCATAGGTCTACTTCAAATTTAGATAATAAACTTAGTTAAATCGCATGATTAAATAGAGATTGTAGCAATGTAAGTATGTATATGTACAAAATGAATTTAAATAAAAATGCTAACCTCACTTTTTTGAGTAGACATGGATATAATATTAAAACTAGTAATTACTTAACGTTCAAATAAACCACACAACTCATAAGTTCTACAATCTACAACCAAGTTATTTTAATCAAATACGGAGAAAAATAGACCACAAGAAAAATAGACCAAAAGAAAAATAAGGAGACTGAATGAATAAATAATGAAAGATTATCTTCATTCATTACTTGAACTTCTATGTTGAACTTCAATTTTGTATTCTTAATCTAAGCTTCAAGAGAGACTTCAAACTACAAATAAAATATATTTACGGTGAAACGTGGGTGCAACTGAGCGAAACCATGGAAAACTTTTGAAGAACTGTTGAAAATCCATTAAAGTCGGTTAAAATTTAAATACAGAATTTAGAGAATCTATTTGAAGTTAGGTTTGTATCACTTGGCTAGCTGGTGGCTAGTAGTAGTCTATGGCATTAGTACTTTGCTTTATGGCCCTGACCTGTCAGGGCCATTCGGCCGTTGTTTTGATTATTATCATCAGGGTTCGCCTGATGCCTGATTTAATTTTGACATTTGATGACATATATTTTCGTTTTGGGAGCGGGAGCGGGATCTCCCGTTATCGTCGTAATATCGGGAAGATCCGTGCAGTTCGCTTCTTCGAAATTTACGATTCAAACAGCTAATATTTAATTGTTAGTTGTTATAAACAAGTACGATTTTTTAAAAAATAACCTATAGGTTATTGAACGTAATGCAAGGTTATTAGGTTAATTGGTGAAAAAAAAACTACCTTTAAATAACCGGTTATTTTAGAGGAAAATACCGGTTATTCAAAAAACCGGTTACTTTTGCCCATCTCTAGATGAAATCTAACCGAACAGGCTGCTACTGATTACTTCGGTGACTGAACACATAAGAAAAACTTGTGGAAAAACTTGGCGAAAAACTTCTAGACACAAGTGTAGAAAAACGTCTAGAAAAATGTCTAGAAATACTTGCTGAAAAATCCAAAGGAAAACGTTGAGAAAAATACGTAGAAAAATCTGTAGAAAACCCTAAAAAGAAATGCACGGTATTAGTTAACCTTACATTTTAAAAAACTCGAAAAATTTACGAAGGTATTAATTTACCTCATTGTAATAATTATTTAACATTTCTTCTCAAATAAGAGCTGGACACTTCTCATCAAAAAAACTGGAATCTAAAAGAAACGCATGTGAAGGTTTTTTCTAACGAATGGAATGTCAAAGAAAATCTTACCGAAACTATAGATCCACTAAAATCTCAACAATCAAAATCTATATGGGACCTTCAACCATCTATAGGATAACAAAATCACAATATTTTTCCCATATTGTGAAAAATACCAGCCAAATAAATTTTATTGAAAAATGGCACAGTGACCTCGGTAACGGCCAAATCCGAGGTGACGATTTTGACGTTTCCCGTCTTGTCAATACACCAGGGTACGATCCATGGTATAAAGAAAACAAGGTATGATCGATAGCGGCTCAAATTTCGTTCAGTTTGCGCATACCACCTGTGACGTCATACGCCATACAAAAAAAATATCCATATTGTTCAATTGCCACTAATAAAAAAGGACCTAAAATAGGGAAGAATTAGGACATAACCCCAAAATTTATGTCAAATCATCGAGCTTGACATTTGAAAAATTATTTTTACATTTTGACACAAATAAATTTCACGGATGACACAATCTGTTTGACAATTTGAAATTGGCGCGCAGAGCTTGCCGACCAATGGTGCCGTTTATCACCTGTGACGTAGTGACCAACCTGCGCAATATCATACCTTGTATTCTTTGTATCATGGGTACGATCCAATATTTTCGATAGAGAGTGTTCCGAAATTTATGTGTTGTAGACATAGATAAATGAAACAAGTTTAGATTGGAAAGTGACCATAAGGACAATGTAAACACTATTTGGCGCTGTTCTTGCAACGGTCGCGACCCAAAACTTTTGAAAATTTCGGAGCGGTTCGGCTTTTTCCGGAATTATATCGCCAAATATTGTTTATTCAAATTTATTATTATTTTCGTTTAATTTTATAAATAAACTACAGTGTGTTGCATACAAAAAACTTTATTTTATATAAGGACGCATGTATGAAATACCTATGAAACATTGGAAACCGACGTTATGCCACGATCCACGATGGTTTTTGCTGTTCACAGTTCACAGCACAGCTTTTTAAATTTTTAATGCCACTTTTTCACAATTATCACCGGTTGGAGTAAATAAAACTTGAATTAAACTCACAAGATAGCAATAATTACTTTGAAAATGAACGCTATAAACACTTTTCGGAATTTCTTTAATGATAGCGGTTTAGATTTTGAAAGATTATTATGATTTTTGAAGATTCTGACTTTGACAAGAGAAAATTATTTCTGTTTTTGTTTGCCGTTGTTCTTAGCGACCGCTATAGCAGCGCCAGATCGCGTATAACGGTCGCGACCCAAAATAATTTCGCGACCCAAAATTTTTACGGGCTTTCCAATCTAAACTTGTTGCATTTATCTATGGTTGTAGAAATGTAAAAAGAATATTGATACAATAATAAAATACCGTCTATAATAAAACAAAGTAGCATTTGGAAAATGAAAATGCTGCATCACTAACAATGGTTTTTTATTTTATTTGTTTTCAGTAATCAGTAACACAGTTTGTTAGGATAAAACGATGGAAAGGAAAATTATCTGTTTAAATTAAATTAAATAAAATGATAATACCAATTTCAAATAAGTATAGAATATATTATATTTTCAGAAAGCTCATAATAAGACAAATAAAAAAATATACTGGGTGTCCCATAAAAAAACATAATTTTGAGTTATATTTCGGAAATGGCCGCTTTCAACGAAAATCTAATAACGCCACTAGTTTCTACGTAAAATACTCTACCAGACTCAGTTTTCTTCTTTTCCATAATTTATAAGACAACCAAGATACAAAGGGGATTGAAAATGCAACATTTTCAAATTCCTGTATTTTTGAAAAAAAGGAGACTAAGAAAACTCTGTGTATAGCATCTTTAGTTTCACAAAAAAGTAGCATAGTAGTAGAAAACGGCATATTTGTATCTCTACTCATGAACGAAAACCCCATAAAACGCACACCCTAAAATGGGACACCCTACAACCTGATTCCGGATCGGTAATGATAAAAACCTGAAGTAGGTTTTTGTCATGATTTGTGTACTATTTATTTTTTATGCCACAGTTTACCGAATTATCTGGACCGAGCTGTTGCCAGCATTAGTGCATTTTTGCAACAAACTCACAAATATTTCTATATATTTGATTATTTTTTTAATCATACAGGGTGTCCCAGGCTGAGCGTGCATTAGAAGTTTCTAGAGAACTACAATATCTAGATCGAACACTTTTTGCACATCATTGTTCCACAACGAGATCTATCGATTAAAAATATTTTCTATATGGCGGCACTTCCGGAAATACCGGAAGTTGACAGCAACTTTCTTATTTTAAATGGGCGACCCCATTTTTTATTACATAGTTAAATTCTCTGTAAAATTTTATGAATTTTGATATTAAACACTCTATACCTAACATTAACCGTTTTTGAGAAAAAAAAACATTTAAAATTTTTAGAGGAAAAAACTGCCTCTCAAAAAAATCATTTTACCACAGCCACTGTGCCATAAAGAGAAGTCATGTGGTTATCTACTTCAAAAATTAAATTGTTCGAATGTCAACATTGGCCGTAGCTGTCATGGAATTGAGCGATTTAGAAAATTGTCATAAATCATTTTTTTCAAATGGTAACCCACTTTTTTATTTCATTAGTGAAAAGGTCTTTTAATTCATTACTTTTTGATTATACACGTTCCTATACCTAAAATAAATATTTTTTAAGTTATTTAAGATAGCTACATATCTTCTCTTTATAACCAAAGACATTATAAAGATAGACCGAACATCTCATTCATAAATACTCGTTGGTAGTGTATCAAACATTCCAATGTGTCAAACAAAGACAGAAGAGACAGAGAAGTCTAAAATTTCCGACCCCGGCAACTAGGCGCATTTGGATTGTTCTAATGGCCAGTGGCGTATCGCTTTTTGGAACGAATTTAATTAGTAAAGTAAAAGTAAAGTAATTAGTAAATTTTTTACTCCATATTAATATACTACATTAACACTTTTTCGTCAGATGAGTTTTGTTATAAGGTCTAATATAATAATATAATTAATATCCCACATATACTTATGTTGAAACGTTAGTAGGTAGTTTTCGAAAATCGCTCCAACGTCGATATTCAAATTAAACTTTCAGTTACTTCTATATAAACTTTCAGTTACTTTTGAATATATTTTGAATATTAATTTTTTGAATATTTACAGGGTGACTCAGGCTTCCGAAACAGTTCTATATTAGGTTTGTGGTTGGTGACTTTTCTTTCAATTTTTTTTAGAATATGGAGGCAATGGTAAAGCACATTTTAGATATTTTTGTAATCATAGGTGGCTGGAACATATTTTCAAACTAAAGTGGTAGATTTGCCATTAAATTTCCATTCCAGAAATACCTAGGGTTGCCACCTGTTCTTTTTTGAAAAGGACAGTCCTTTTTTGGAATAACTTGTCCATTTGACTTTTTTTGACTTAAAAAGTCATCTTTATTTACGTCTTTTCCCTGAGAGAAGAAGAGAACTTAGAACTTCCCGTTTAATCTCTGAGAAAATTACCTACAGCAAACAGAAATATTCTTTTCGTCCAAATTTAATTAGAGGTGTTATAAAACTTATAAATAAATTTTTCTTGTTTAGAATAGGCAGAACTTCCCGTTTAATCTCAAATGATAGTTTAGGTTTTAGTTTTACCTTTTTTGATCGTAAAAAGAACTTTCCAAAATTAGTAATTAGTAACGATTTAGTTAGTTCGCAATCGATAGCTTGCTGTGAAGTACTGTGTAATAGTTGTTTAATCTTGTATTATTAATAACTCCCTATACCTAAAATCAATATTTATTTTAATGAGAAAATTGTGTTTTTTGAAAATATAAGACAAGATTTGACTTTCGGTCTTCTTCTCGTATTATGATGGCTCTGATACAAGGCAATTACCTTTTAGTCTCTCAATAGAGGGCATTTATCATTAAAAGTATCAAATCTGTGTGCTATGGGATTTCTGTCGCATAATAATGAATATTACGTTTATTTACAAATCCATTACTTAGGTAGCTTAATCAGACAATCAAATTTTAGTTAAACCCCAATCTTCATGAACTGTATTAAGCATATGTATTGCGGTTTGAATCACCCTGTATGTTGACAAAAATATTTTGAAAATGTGCGTTACAATCTTATGTAAAGATTGAAATAAAAATCACAAACCAAAAACGTAATAGGTAAAAAGCTTTTTTGGAGGCCTGGGTCACTCTGTATATAGGTATGTATAAAACTAGTAGCCTAAGAATTATTTACAGTTCGTCCCATTCTAAAAAAAGGTAAACACACCGTACAAATAACTCTAGGAAGAGGTATTTGTATTGTACGGTGGTAAAAACTTGTCTAAACAAGACCGAAGGGGCAGATATAAGATATAATAAAGCAATAAAATGTTAAAAAGGACGGGTAAACGCCTTTGTTTATTTGTTAAGCAAAATTCCTTTAGAATATCGTATATAATGACCAAAATATGACGCAATTTAAAAAAATGTCACTTTCTGGCATATAATAAAGTTTCAAATGCAACGTTTATATTCAAATTTGTTATGATCTACAACAGTTAGGTAGTAATTGAGACGAATTATAATTCAATTACCGGCTACTACGTTCTTGTTTATGTTAATTGTGAGAGGCTCCCTTGTGGGACGCCTATGTACGATTACGGCGGAAACAATAACCTACCTGTGAAAAGACAAATTCGGGTAATTTGAGCTTATTTTTCCACACATTTGACACTGTCTTACCATATTGAAAATTCGCAGATTCAAACGTATGTTAAACAAAAACTACTGAAAACCACTGAAAAGTTCACTTCGGACTTGATTCCGACTTCAAACACACCGTAAGCTAAACGTAGTACGCTATAACGGACCAATGGCCGTCGCGAGGGGTGGTGGGACGGACGGCTCATTTCATTCTGGAAGACTAGCAGCGACGTTGCCAATAGTTCTAGACGTTTCAGCATATTAAACAGTAAACACGTCCTTTAATAGTAACGCATATATCCTCTGGTTAATAACATATTATTACGCATGCTTAAAAATAAACTATTAATTTAATTAAGAAATTGAGATTTATTGATATCCGGTGAAGGTTTTAAAGTAACCTTTTCTGCAAATCAAACTAAGTAGATAGGCGCAAATTTGAGATGTGGCAATGTCGCCTTCTCTATCTCAGTTGGTTTTTACAGTACGTAGTCAACCTCCGATTGTTTGATCGGGTTAAAATGCACAATGTGATATCTGTTCTTACTAAATCTATGTTTATAACACACTAAATTTGTCGTTTAGGCTATACAGATTTTTTTGCCAGGTAGTTTTTTTCCTCCAAAAAAATTAAATATTTTTTTCTCAAAAACGGGTAATGTTAGTGTAATAATACTATGAGTGTTTGATAGCAAAATTCATAAAATTTTACAGAGAATTTAAGTATCTAATAAAAAATGGGGGTACCAATTTAAAATAAGCTATTTGCTGTCAACTTCCGGTATTTCCGGAAGTGCTGCCATATTGAAAATATTTTCAATCGATAGTCCTCGTTGTGAAATAGTAATGTGCAAAAATCTCCGATCTAGATATTATAGTTCTCTAGAAACTTCTAATGCACGCTCAGCCTGGGACACCCTATATATTTTTATTTTTCTTGTCTCAGGGTTGTAATTTTTTGGATTCGTTATCTAGTCAGGACTACCGAAAATGTTTGGATTTGATTAAGGATATGATATTGGCAACTGATTTGGCATCACATTATAAAATACATGCTAAACAGTTGAATATGGCGCAGGTATGGTAAATGTTTCTTTTTGTATAGTGTGGCTGATTTTGGATGTTTTAATGAAACTAAAAGACCGGAAATTACTACAACTTTTGATTTTTAAACGGTATATTTTTACTTTATTCGATAGAAAATGACATTCTCAATAAATATCATCTGTCAACTTTTGATATTCTCGCTTAAAAAAATTGTATTTTGAATTTCAATCTAGAGTGTCATAGCTGTATTAAAAACACTAATTTTTAATCAAGGAGCCGTGGAAAAATAGATTTGATCGTCTAATGTTTTTCGCGTCTTGTCCTGGCCTGTTAAAAGATGCCCAAATCGTATTTTTAATCATATCTCAATTTCTTTAAATGGAACGAGGGTGGCTCATTAGCATATTTGGAAAAGGCATTTTTTACGAATAATAAGACACACTTGATATTTCGAGTCAAAAGTTGACATGTCATTTTTTGAAAATATCAAAAGTTGACATGTCATTCGTCATTCTATTCAGAGTGTCATTTTCTATCGAATAAAGTAAAAAAATACCGAGGGTGCCATTTAAAAATCAAAAGTTATAGTCATTTCCAGTGAAACAGGACTTGACCGAAAACAATTGAATACACCAATCAATCCTAATTTGTGTCATATACTAACATACCAAATCTCGTTATATTGTCTGATAAAATAAAAATGTTATAGGGATTAGGTTAGATTGTAACTTTTAAGACGATAAGAGATCAATAATTTAACAGATATATTCTGTTTATTATAAGTTTACTGTAATTTTTTGTTATGTGTTTTCAAGTTATTTGTAAACCATTATTTTTCAAAAGTTAATATAAGTTTAATATGCCACTTAATACTTGATCTACTTTTTGACCAAGGAGCGCAATCTAGAACACTACTTTCAACATCGTTTTTTCCATCCCTATAACTTTTTTATTTTTTCAGATAAAAAACGAGATATAGTATCTATACTAATATATAAAATCCTTAAGTGACTGACATACTGATTAATCACGATCCTGCTCAAACCACTCAACGTAAGAAGCTCAATTTTGGCATACAGGTTGTTTCTAGGGTGTAGAGGTTCGGTAAGAAGGGATTTTTCGAAATTCCAGTTCCAAGAGGGTGAAACCACCCCTCAAATATTACAATATTTTTTATTTAAAAAACGGTCAAGTTTCCGAAAAAACGCTTAAACGCGTATATTTTATTTTGTTTTTTACATATTTTAAGATTTTTTAAAAATGTATACAGGGTGTTTCGAAAAATCTGGTCATTGATTAATTACGATCCTGCTTAAAGCGCTTGACGTAAAAAGCTGATTTTTGGAAAACGGATTGACTTTAGGGTGTAGCGGTTCGATAAGAAGGGATTTTTCGAAACTCGAATTCTAAGGGGGTGAAACTATCCCTCAAATATTAAAATATTTTTATTTAAAAACCGGTGAGTTTTTCGGAAAAACTCTTAAACACGTATATTTTATTTTGTTGTTTTACATATTTTAAGATTTTTATAAATTTATACAGGGTGTTTCATAAAATATGACCATTGAGTAATCACGATTCTGCTTAAACTGCTTGACGTTTAAAGCTGATTTTTGGCAAACGGATTGACTTTGGGGTGTAGAGGTTCGATAAGGAGGGGGTTCTTGAATCTCAAACTCCAAGAGGGTGAAAACGCCCCTCAAATATTACAATATTTGTTATTTAAAAAAGGTTAGTCTTTCGGGAAAACGCTTGGACAAGCATAATTTATTTGGTTTTTTACATATTTTGAAATTTTTTAAAAAATCATACAGGGTGTTCCAAAAGTTGGGTAATTTCTTAACCACGATTCTGCTTAAACTGCTTGATGTAAAAAGCTTATTTTTGGCAAACGGATTTTTCGAAAGTCAAATTCCAACGAGATGAAACTCCCCTCAAATATCACCAAGTTATATAATAATATCGCCATATTGTTTTTTCTCATGCTGACATAAATGTGAGAAAATTTTATCCAGTTTGTATGTTAATGGAAATTCTTGCTTTGCTTTATCATCACCATTACAAATGATTAATTCGACGCGAACGAAGTCGCTGGTACACGCTAGTGTTAGTATATGACATACATTAGGATTGATTGACGTATCCAATTGTTTACTTGTTTGCCACTGCTTTGTTGTTAAATTAACTTTTGTTTTTTTTTGTGTCCGAGGATTAAAAAATAATTTCTTTGATTTAGTGTATTCTAAGTTTTAGAATCACCCTGTAGAGTGTCTGTATAAATATGAAAATAATTTTCTAAATTTATAGACTATTGTGATTCGAAGTTGTAAAATGTCAAGTCAAGACTATTTATGACTTTTACTTTCTTATCAAAAATGTATAGTCTGTCCAACGGGTTGTGTCATATTAATTCATAGACAAATTGAATTTTCTATCATTTTTTGAATATCGTCTGTCAAAATCTTCAGAATCGTTGAGCAGACTATATTGAAAGAGATTATGTATAAAGAACATCGATAATTTGCCACTGTGTATAGGTTAGTCCAAGAATATAGGGCGTCAGCTGTAATTCGGGATAGGGCCTAAGGGGAAAAATGTACTTATAGTAAATCAACCAAGAGAAATCGTTTTAAAATATTTTCAAATTCAAAAGTTGACCGCTAAGGGGTGCACCAGAAACATAATCGAAAATACCAATTTTCTTTTAAATTTTTCATTTTATTTATTATTATTTTCCATAAGGAGGTATGTTGAAAATATAAGCAGTATATTCTTTAACCAATTGCACACTTTTTTCGTTTAGACCAGTTTTGTCTATTAGCAAAAATAAAATAGTGGAAAAATATCCTTATGGCTTTTTCGCCACTGCACTGCAAGAAAAATCTACAAAATAAAATAGTTATTTTTTGTAAACACTTCTGCGTTAAACCTAAACGGACGCTGCTTGTCAGAAGTTGTGTTTACAGTTATAAAATATTTCCTAACAAAGAAAAAAATGCTTAACGTTTCGGAAAGTTCTTTCCGTCGTCGGAAGCAAAAAAATATAAAGAATCAAGAAAGAAACTATTTAAAATATTTAAATTGAACTATTCGAGAACACTTTACTTTTTAAAACAGATACGTCTACAAGAAATCGTTGACGTTCTGTTAAAATGACATTATATTAAGTTAAACTTCAAAATTAACAATTACTACCTGATAATTACTTAATAAGGTAAGCCCAAACTTTCTGTATAATTATTTTTAAATTTTACGTACCTATGTTATGTTTATTTATGTAATGTTCTTTAAAATCAAAGAAGCGATTGCCATACATTACTAACATCTACAGATGCATGAGCAATACATTTATTTTTATTAGATTGAATTAAAAAGCCTCTTTTATTTTTCTTTTAGAGGCTATCGCTTCTTTCATTATAATTTTGGCGTTATTAAAATTTATTCTGTGCCCTGTGTCTCCCATGAATGCTGACAAATCTTAGATTTGTGAAAATCTCCCTTTCTTAAATAATCTTTATGTTCTTTAATTCTAACATTTAAGGGTCTAGATGTTTCACCAATGTAAAATTTATCGCATTCACAGGGTATTTGGTATATTACATTTTTTGTTTGTTGTTCTGTATTCATTGGTTTAGTATGTGATAAAATTGATCTAAGTGTATTTTGTGTTTTGAAAGATGTTTGTATGTTATATTGTTTTCCTATCCTTCTTATTTTTTCCGAAACGCCTCGTATGTATGGAATTGTAAGTTGTATATATTGTGTATTGTTATCTTTGTGTCTATGATTTGTGGTTTGTATTTCGTTTAATGTTTTGTCAATAAAATATGGTGGATAGTCGTTTTTTATTAATGTATTTTTATGTGGTTTATATCTTTGTTTAGTGAAATGTCATCTGTACATATTATTTTTGCCCTAACATATAAACTTTTTATAACACCTTTTTTTACACTTATACTGTGATTAGATGTGAAATTTAAGTATCTATCTGTGTTTGTGGGTTTTCTGTAAACATCTAAAATTAGTTAATTTTGAAATTTTGACACTAAAACATCAAGAAATGGCAAACGATTACCTCTCTCTACTTCTAAAGTAAATTTTATGGTAGGTTCATGAGAATTTATATATTCCAAAAAATGTCTATTTCAGAAACGTTATGTTGCCATATTGCAAAAAATATCATCAACATAACGCAGCCATATTACAGGCTTTTTTGAAAACTATTTATTGTATTATTTTCAAAATCTTCCATAAAAATATTACTTAACAAAGGAGAGAGAGGTGATCCCATTGCCATACCGAAATCTTGTTGAAAAAAATCATTATTTAATTGGAAATAAGTAGTTTTTACACAAAGTGTCAACAATTCCAAAATACTATCTATGTTTAATTTTGTTCTATCTATTAAATGTGTATCTTGTTCTAATCTATCCCTAACTATTTTAAGTGATTTATCATTTTTCACTAATGTGCCGGTAGATTTTTATTTTATCACATAATTTTATCACATTTTATTTTATCACATACTAAACCAATGAATACAGAACAACAAACAAAAAATGTAATATACCAAATACCCTGTGAATGCGATAAATTTTACATTGGTGAAACATCTAGACCTTTAAATGTTAGAATTAAAGAACATAAAGATTATTTCAGAAAGGGAGATTTTCACAAATCTAAGATTTGTCAGCATTCATGGGACACAGGGCACAGAATAAATTTTAATAACGCCAAAATTATAATGAAAGAAGCGATAGCCTCTAAAAGAAAAATAAAAGAGGCTTTTTTAATTCAATCTAATAAAAATAAATGTATTGCTCATGCATCTGTAGATGTTAGTAATGTATGGCAATCGCTTCTTTGATTTTAAAGAAGATTACATAAATAAACATAACATACGTGAAATTTAAAAATAATCATACAGAAAGTTTGGGCTTTTTGGTTTTACCTTATTAAGTAATTATCAGGTAGTAATTGTTAATTTTGAAGTTTAACTTAATATAATGTCTTTTTAACAGAACGTCAACGATTTCTTGTAGACGTATCTGTTTTAAAAAGTAAAGTGTTCTCGAATAGTTCAATTAAATATTTTAAATAGTTTTTTTCTTGATTCTTTATATTTTTTTGCTTCCGACGACGGAAAGAGAAAACTTTCCGAAACGTTAAGCATTTTTTTTTCTTTGTTAGGCAAATTTTTATTACTGTAAACACAACTTCTGACAAGCAGCGTCCGTTTAGGTTTAGCGCAGAAGTGTTTACAAAAAATAACTATTTTATTTTGTAGATTTTTCTTGCAGTGCAGTGGCGAAAAACCCATAAGGATATTTTTGGATAGATGAATCCGCCACATAGGTATAGACATTTTTTAAAATAGTGGAAGTTAAAAATTTTTATATTCAAATGTTTATATTTTTGTTTGGACAAACCGAGTTTTATCAAGATTTTGAGGAAAGAAAGTGCTTCTTTCCTCTACACTAGAGTCAATAATGTTACCGTAATGACTTTGTCGTGGTCTCTGGATGGCGCTGATTCGGAATTCTCGAAATAATGCTCATTTTCTCACAGAAAATCAAATGATGCCATGACTTTTATATCGCAACATATTTAAGAATTAGGGTCTAGTTGTACATACTCGGTTCAGGGTGAGAAAACCAGGGTTTAAACCAAGTTTTAAATTTTAATAGGTTGTTGAATGACTTCTTATCATTGAACTTAGTTCAAAAATTAAGTATCTCACGATTGAAACTGAGCAGGCCATTTTTGAGGCTTAAACCGAACTTTTAATTATCTGAGAACTTTATTTTTAAAAAATTAACTTTGTCGTTTTGTTGAGAAGAACAATGGACGATGGCCAAACATAGAGAAGAAATAAAAAAACGTTTTTTATTACCTTTCTCTATAATGATGAAGTAGAAGTTTCATCCAGAGAGAACACTAATAACTAAAGTGAGAGAGACCGATCAACGTTAATTTTTGAAGACTGTGTTAGTGGCGCGGCCTTTGGCGTCTAACCCGAACTATGAGCGCATTATCGATATAGTAGGTTGCATTCATACCTATATACGGGTGTCAAAAATTTAATATTTGTATATTTGAACCCAATCTTAATCTTTCAAATTTATTATAAGAAATCTTCGTAGTTTTTTTAGATTATTTTGTTGACAACGAAAATTTATTATTAGACTTTAAAGCATTAAAACCTATAAATAAAATACTGTGTAGGAACATAATAATTTATTTAACTCCATACTCCTTGCCATACTCCAACTCAAGGCTGCAATCTTTAGTATCTTTTTTATATAACTTGGTTGGGAGTGAACAGGGAAGCACGGTTGGGAGCTCTCACAGTGTATCAGTAGGTATCCCGTAGGTATTCAATGTTTTTGATAGTCTTTATTCTATAACAAGAACCTAGCAGTTAAAGAAAATAATTTGTATTACTGGAAATAATACCAGGTATAATACCTAGTCGTTCCATAGGTATCAGAAAAGAATGTGATGTTTTAAATTAAAAAAAATAAATTAGCAATGTACGATTATTATGTGCACTCACTATTACTATTAGGTATGTTAAAATAATTACCGTGATAAAACTTACCTTTAAAAGAAACGTTTTGTCTGGGTCTCAACCACAAAACAAAAATTACAAAAATGTCGAATAATCGTGGAATCTGAAATAATCAATAATGACAATAATCTTCTTCTGACAAGCTAAAGAACAGGCACATTCAGTCAAAAACAATTTATTACTCCGATTTGCTCCGATTATCAACAGATTTTAGTTATCTCCTTCTAGAACTAAGAAATAGACATAGATAAATGCAACAAGTTTAGATTGGAAAGCCCGTAAAAATTTTAGGTCGCGAAATTATTTTGGGTCGCGACCGTTATACGCGATCTGGCGCTGCCATAGCGGTCGCTAAGAACAACGGCGAACACAAACAGAAATAATTTTCTCTTGTCAAAGTCAGAATTTTCAAAAATCATAATAATCTTTCAAAATCTAAACCGCTCTCATTAAAGAAATTCCGAAACGTGTTTATAGCGTCCATTTTCAAAGTAATTATTGCTATCTTGTGAGTTTAATTCAAGTTTTATTTACTTCAACCGGTGATAATTGTGAAAAAGTGGCATTAAAAACTTAAAAAGCTGAGCTGTGAACTGTGAACTGCAAAAACCATCGTGGATCGTGGCATAACGTCGGTTTCCAATGTTTCATAGGTATTTCATACATGCGTCCTTATATAAAATAAATTTTCTTGTATGCAACACACTGTATTTTATTTATAAAATTAAACGAAAATAATAATAAATTTGAATAAACAATATTTGGCGATATAATTCCGGAAAAAGCCGAACCGCTCCGAAATTTTCAAAAGTTTTGGGTCGCGACCGTTGCAAGAATAGCGCCAAATAGTGTTTACATTATCGTTATGGGCACTTTCCAATCTAAACTTGTTTCATTTATCTATGGAAATAGAAAAAGCTACTGACAAACTAATTAATCCTGTCAAATGTTTAACTTGCCAAGTTGAAAACTTCCTTTTTTGACCGCCTAAACGCTATGCGCGTCTGGGATGCGCGGTGACAAAATAAACTTGTCTACGAAATGCGCTATTCCACAAGCCCTCTCACTTTAGTTATTAGTTTCTCTCTGGTTTCATCTATCAGCTCAATTAACCTAAAATTTTAGGAACAGTGATTTCCTTTGGTCGTTTTACCTAATTTATTTCTTTATCTCTCTATCCTTAACGTTCCGAAGTTATAGCTGACGTCTTATATTGCTGGACCACCCTGTAGAATTAACTAACGTAAACATTAAAGTTTTTAATGTTTAATAGGAAGGATTTGATAAAACAAATCCGTATCATAAGTATTATCTAACCAGTCTACTAATGACCTGTGCTGACTTATCTGATCAAACGAAGGTAAATTACATACTTGAAATATACTAGTAGTGGGAACTATCGAATGAATACTATCGAAACATTCGATAGTTGCAATTCATTCGAATAATTCGATAGCTAGTAAGAAAACATTCGTTGAAAACTATTCGAATAAAAATTATCGAATAGATCCGTCATCTGCCTTGAAATATTGTATTCTAGTAATTCGGCAGCAAAACCATTCATTTATAAAATTCATTCATTTATGAAATTCATTCATTCGTCAGGATCGATTATAATAAAATATTAACTGAATTTTAATTGTCGCCCGGCGACGTAGGTTTCTTTTTTCCGAGAAACCCGACAGCGGTCGGTGGCAATGCTATGAAAGAAGCCGGCATCTTTGATTTTGCGGAGTCAGATATAGATAAGGACACATTATTTTTTTATTGAGGTGCTAGTATTTACACAGAAAATACATTATGAAAGGCGCTGTTGCCATATTTTGGTATTAGTTGATATTAGCAAAGAATATTATTGTTTGGCTTTAGTTAATTAGGGAATATAAAGACATACTATCTATTCTGCATTTTTTTTATTAATATTCTGTTGTTACACTGCAATAATACTTGTTATTTTGGATGTAGGAAAATTATTTTTAATGTTTTTTAGCAAAGACTGGTTTAATAAATAATAATAACAATAATAATTTGTTATACCTATTAACAACAAAATTTAAAATCATTTAATATAAATATTTTCTTTTAAGTAGTAGCAAAATATAAACAACAAATTAGATGTCAAAATTATTTATATTAGATCCTATTTAAAAATAATATAGTCTCTAAATTTTTTGGCAACGGTGGTTTATTAAATAATAATAATTACAGAACTAATTTGTTATATTAACAACAAATTTTAAAATCATGAAATATAAACATTTATTAATTTTCTAAGCATGCAGTGTAATGTAAGGAAAATATAAATAAAAAATTAGAAATCAAAATTATTTATATTAGGTGCTTTATATTACTATTTAAAAATTATATTTACTTTTACTGGCATTTACTTTAAAAAATAAATGAAATATTTTTTCTTCGCAAAAAACTACATGTAAAAGAATTAGCATAAACAAAATATAAACATTGTTAACTTTTTTTTTTAAATTGGCACGTGTAAAACTTTCATTTTAATTTTCTCACCCCATAGTTTGAGTTCGATAACCATTTACTTAAATATGATTATACAACCGCATTACTTAAATATGATTATTAAGTTCAACTAATTCATATTATTAAAACATCTAAAATACAAATATGTATTTTTAAAATTAATTGTAAGTTCATCTCATCTCTCTTAAAAATTGCTACTCTCAAAATTTCCCATTAAAAAATAGACCATATACCATATAAAATTAAATAATTGAAAGATCGGACTACGGAAAACCACACAAATTTTCGGAAAAATTTTGACCACCTGCACATGCATATAATCGTCAATAAATAAAATTAAAAAATAACTACTATTTTAGTATTTTAACTATTTTAATAAACGCAAAAATAGCACAGTATTTATACGGCGAAGTTATAAAAATTTGGAAGAACTAATAATGCACCGACGCATACAAAAATCAAACGAATACTAAATTTCATTTATCAAAAGCATTCGATAGTCGTGGCTCAACGATAACCATTTAGTCGCACGGCGAGGTTGTCACATATGCTTTAGTATACAAATGAATGAATGATTTTATTCGAATAAAACCATTCGATAGTTGAAATCATTCATTCATTAACCATTCGATAGTCTAATTCATTCGATAGTTCCCATCGCTAAAATATACCGTGAAATTACAGTGTTAATATTATTTTAGGATTGGACTGAAACTAAAAAAGTAGCACAACTAATATATGCCGAGTTTTTTGCCCAAGGAGATTTAGAGAAAAAAATGGGTAAAGAGCCTGCAAATATGATGGACAGAGAAAAAGCTTCAATTCCCGATCATCAGTTAGAATTTCTAACGCAATGTTGTATATGTATTTTTAAGTATGCGTGTATCTAATAATTCCATTTGCATTTTTTTCTTATATTTCATTTTTTATATACAGGATATTAGCTACAATATTTCCATCCGCTAAAGTATTAGTAAACGCTATAAAACAAAATATTCTGTGCTGGGAATCTTCAAAACGTATATTTGATAAGTATTCTATGGAAGGTAAAACCTCATATGAAGTTTTAGTCAGTGAAGAATTAGAAACGGAAGTACAAAATACCTTGGACAACATTAAAGTTTAATGTTCCTGCTTTTGTAACCACTAAAAGACATGTGCAATAATACTATTTAAACAATAATTTAAATCATATATCAGAGAACCTGGAGAAATGCCATGGAGAAAAGACAAATTACAAACTATTGGTATTAAAGAAAATATGAACATACACTGAAATTTTGTGTTTTATTTTGCACTACAATCATACGGTAATCGCAAAACATTTTCCGATGCACGTCATCGATCATATCGAAATTGACACTAAAGCCTGACTAAATGAAATTTTAGCAAAAATTTTTAAATTTGTTGTATCATTTAAGATACCGAGCAGCTCTTCATTTTACTTTATTAGAGAGCAAATGATTGTAACAGATATTTTATTTAGATTAAAGCTACAAAAAATAGTTTAAAGCAATTTTTATTATCGCCATGTTGGTCACATTGCGCCGCGATCAGCAACGTTGCTTGTTATTTAACAATTATAATGTCAGTCATTATTTTGTATAATATCGTGTTGTTGGATTTTTGGGAGTAATTCTCGTTTTTTTAGTATTTTTTTAGAAATTGTACTTATAAGCACAAACAGTTCTTTTAAGAACTAAATTTTCGAGTATTTGTATTGCATTTCTGGAAATTGTGTGTTGAAAATATGCCGAAGCATTTAAACAGTCGAAGCGAAGAGTTTGTAGCTTTCCTGATAAACTATTTTGAACGAGAACGTGACAATAAAGGTTCTTTATCACCCTTGACTGCAGTCAGAGAAGTAAATTTGTTTGGTAAGTTATTTCTACTTATTTCAATTTGTAGCGAGTAGGCTGCCTTAAATTTAAATATTTCTACTGTGAGTGTTAGTGACTAGTGACTACTGTTAATAAATAAATTAATTACTAAAATATTAATTATTAAATTAAAAATAAAACGCCAATTTTTTTTACAAAATGATATAATAAATATTATATTGTTCCACTCAAAGTTGATCATGTGCATCGGAAATTGTTTTGTGTGATTACTTTAGTATATTACCTATTCAGAAGATGGAGAAACTAAATAAATTTAGGATAGATACAAGGATACATTCGGTCCCTATTTGTGTATACGTATTGCAATTTATACAGGGTGGCCCATCGAAAACGTTCCGCAAGGCTTAACGGCTAAGGTATTCTTTTTTTCAAAAAATTCAAAAACACGTCAATTTTGTTTGTGAGGGGGACAACTTTTGCCCCAAAAATGATTGCAAAATCATCAACCCTCTAAGCGGGGGTGTCATCCCCCAACTTTTTTCAAGTGGGAAGGGGGGTCAAGTGGCGCCGCAATGAAAAGAGCTTTCTATGCTCTATATTTCCCCGCCTCGTTTTTGAAAATCGGTCGAGTCATTGAGAAAATATGAAGGATTGAAATTTGAAAAGTTTATTTAAACATTTATCAGAGTAAATGATAAGAATAAATTCCTTCGACTAATTTGAGGTTTTTTCTTATTATTTCTAGACGTTTACGCATTTTTTCACTTGCCACAAGGTTGGACGATCAGGTGCGGTAGTTGCTAGATAGCTGTTCTGTGACTTGTGCGTTGAAGTTCTTCTCAATATCGTTAAACTGACCCACAATAGAATTTCCAAAAATACCAGCCCATGCGTTCAATTTCTGAGGGTTTTGTGTGTGCACCTCGTGAAAAACCCTGGGGTTGTCCTCAGCCGAGTACCGACAGTTGTGCTGATTAACTACACCGTTCAAAAAGAAAATACACTCATCTGAAATACACACGTTAAATAAGAAATTATTATCATTCGCCACTCGTTCACTCATAGTTTCACAAAATTGCAAGCGACGATCAAAATCGTCTTCTTTGTGTTCTTGTACCAACTGAATTTTGTACGGGTGCAACTTGTGTTTTTTTTTTAATATCCTTTAGACACTTGTACGATTCACGCCGGTCTCATTGGCTAATTTTCTTGTACTCATCGTTCTATCTATGGCAACTTGCAATACGAATACCTCCATAGCTTCATTTACTACAGGATTTTCCCTCTGCCTCTTTTTATTCATAACGGAACCAGTTTCGCGAAATTTTGCTACTAACTCGCGAACATTTGCCATAAAGGTGTTTGTCAGGATGGCGTACGTTGAATATCTGCGCAACCCGATTGCCACATTCATTATTTTGTAAATAAATTTCGATTATTTCCACTCTTTCTGCAAGTGAGTACACCATAATTGTTAAAAAGTTTAACGATATTGAGAAGAACTTCAACGCATAAAAAGCTTGATTTTCATGCATCCGTTGTCCGACGATACGTTGATACGATTTTAATTCCATTGGTTGTATTTAAAGGCTTCGATTGGATAACCGTTTCTAACCAATCGAAGTCTTTAAATTCAACCATTAAAATTAATATCGTATCATCGAATCGTCGGACACCGGATGCATGAAAATCAAGTTAGTTATCTAGCAACTACCTCACCTGATCATTCAACCTTGTGGCAAGTGAAAAAATGCGTAAACATCAAGAAATAATAAGAAAAAACAGCAAATTGGTCGAAGGAATTTATCCTTATCATTTACTCTGATAAATGTTTAAATAAACTTTTCAAATTTCAATCCTTCATATCTTCTCAATGACTCGA